CTGAACTCTGGGCCTGGGCGCTGTCCCTCAGCTCTTCAGCTCAAGGCTAGCGCTCTACCACTTGAGCCACAGCGCCACTTCCGGCTTTTTTTCTTTTTGCTTATGTGGTGCTGAGGAATCTAACCCAGGGCCTCATGCATGCAAGGCAAGCGCTCTACCTCTGAGCCACCTTCCCAGCCCAAGTCTGTGATTCTTATCTGCAGTTAACACGCAAAAAGCCAGAAGTGAAGCTGTGGATCAATGGATACCGTGTCAGCTTTAAGCAGAAAAGACACATGAGAGTTCAAGCCCTATTATAGGCACAAAATCGTAAATAAAACTCAAAAGTCACCTTTTTTTTTTTTGCCAGTCCTGGGACTTGAACTCAGGGCCTGGGCACTGTCCCTGAGCTTCTTTTGCTCAAGGCTAGCACTCTACCACTTGAGCCACAGCACCACTTCCAGCTTTTTCTGTGTATGTGGTCGTGAGGAATGGAACCCAGGGCTTCATGCATGGTGGGCAAATGCTCTACCACTGAGCCACCTTCCCAGCTCTGGTCTCTTGTAAGGAACCAAAGAGAAGGAAGGAGACCACACTGACAAAGTCAGTTGACTCTGACAAAGGCACAGTGCAGGACAACTGCTGGGAGGGAGGCCCCACCCCTGTGAGGGATGTGTGACTGATTTGGTGACTCCAAGGTAGAGCCTAGGCCAGAAGAATCAAGATGGCAGAGTTGTGACCAGGATGAACCAGGCTCCCTCTGATCACAGAGATGGAGGCCTTTGGCACACAACTCCACTTCAAGAGAGTGCACCAAACAGACTACAAGAGCGAGAGCTCCACTTCACACCAACCAAGAGAAAAGACTGCTGAGGCGTGCTTAGCAGGGCACTCCTGCAGTGCAGCCACACTGGTCACAGCGGCCGGCCGCAGGCTCTGGTCTGGGAGCTCACCAACACCCAGCAGTCACAGCAGACACACTCACACCAAGCGTGGCCAGGAGGTGGCTACAGGACTCACAGGGCTTCTAATGCCGGGGCGACTCCCACCTTTCCCTGTCCCCACGGATCTCCCTGGCAAACTACCCCCTCCAACCCTTCCCTGCCCCCACAAACCCGACCTTTTCACCTGATAGCTGCATTCTCCCGTCACCACACCCCATCCCAACAGAACTCCTACACGGAAGCCAGATGCGTGAATCAGAGTGAATGGTCATGAAGTTCATGAACTATCAACACAACATGCCACACACAAAACTGACCATAACTCAGGGGAGGACTCTAGCGAGAGGGAAGAGGAAGAGAGGAAGAGAAAAGCAATGATCACGAGGGAACTGGCTGATGGAAGGACAGAGCAGATCCTGGAGCAGCCAGAAGCATACAAAGAGCAAATGGGGGGCTAACAGAAAGGCGAATGAAATGATGAAGACAATACATGACAACGTTCAATATGGAATCAATTAGAAGACACACTATAAGTAGTTCAATGAAGGAAATGAAAGAATATTAACAAGGAGGTAGACACCATGAAAACGTCAATAAAGGCCCCAAAGGACATTGCTGAGGGGAGGCACAGGAGCTCTAGCCCCTACCACAAAGCACAGTTGAAGGCCTGGGCAATAGAACAAAAGGAGTTGCCATCCGTTAGCATTGTGGCTGATGGGGTAGGCGGGGGGGGGGGGGACAGCAGAGGCGTGGGCAGGCAGCCTGTCCCAGCGGACTGCTTGCTGCAGTCCCAAGCCACGACGCCAGTCCACCCGCTCTCCCCTCCTCCCGGGGGCTCCCTGTGACCACACAACACCTCCAGCTCAACTTTTAGAGCTTCAGTTTCCACATCAGTCTCCCTTATGTAATGAAATACACCTCAGCGACCTCCCAGGGCCTCTCCCCAAGTCCCCAGTGGGTCCTTCGGAGTCTCCTTTTCTAGAGTCTGAGCTGCAGATAGCCCAGTGTGTCCCAACAGCCACCAGTGAGTGAGACGCCCTCAGCAGGGAGGAGCAGCCTCCAGCTGACCTGGCGGCACTGCCGCATCCACTCCTGCTTCTCCAGGTGACTCCAGGGGGCTGTGTGCCTGCGTCTACCCCACACATGCTCCAGGATCACATCCTTGTGCTCACAAACTCACATATCTGTACAGGAAACTCACTTGCACGCTCATATAAACCGGTGTGCACGGATGGGAAGGTGGCTCTGTGGTAGAGCACTTGCCTTGCATGCTTGAGGCCCTGGTTCGATTCCTCAGCACCACATAAGCAGAAAAAGCCAGAAGTGGTGCTGTGGCTCAAGTGGTAGTGCGCTAGCCTTGAGCTGAAGAGCTGAGGGACAGCGCCCAGGCAGAGTTCAGGCCCCACGACCAACAATACAGATACATGCTTGTATGCACTCTCATTTACACCAAGTGTGGTTATACACTTTCACTGCATGTTCACATGCATGCATTTTCACACATGCTCACACTTGAGTGTTCACATGTGTTCACATGCTATTCACATGTGTGTGCATGTTTCTGCAAAACATGTGTGCAGTCATGTTCACACACATGCTTGTTCACTGCACACTCATAAATATGCCCAGTCAACACCCATGTTTGTGCATGTGTTCACTCATTCACAATGCATACATTCACATGCACACATGCTCACTGCACTTTCAAACATGTTCACACCATGTACACAGACATGCATGCTCACATTTACACCCACATTTGCACACATGCTCTAACACTCATGTCCATGCATGCTTATGCATGCATGATCACATACTGCATACACGGTCACATAGTGTATGCTCAGAGACATGCACATTCATGCTCATGTGCACACACCCATGTGCACACACTCATCCATGCACACATAAGTTCCACTGGTCCACTGTGGAAGGCCAAATGTACCCTGGGCTGAGGCTCCTGCCAGCCAGCAGTGCCACCCAGTTCCGCCCCACCCTGCTCTGTGGTCAGCCTGGTGAGATCCAGGGCAAGTGGTGGGGAGGGGTAGGGAGCAGGTGGGTGGGGGCAGGCCGGAGAGGAGGGGGAAAGGCTGCCTCTTCAGAGCAGGACCAGGTCCCCACATCCTCTCTGCCTCACAGGCTTACCTGTTTATCTCAGATTTGCAGACCAGCTCGAAGTTGTACTCTCTGGCCTTGGCAGGCTGGAAGATCACATCAAATTGCAAAGTCTCCAGCGGCATGATTGTCCCAAACCCATCGTTGGGCTGGATATCCACAAACTAGGAAATTGGAACCATCAGCACCGCAGTTAAAAGCCGCATGCCCCAGGGAAGCGGCATGGCTCTGAGGGCCAGTGTGCGCTGCTGTGGCAGGGGACGCCGCTGGTCCCAGGACTCCGAGCTTGGGAAGGAGGGCGCTCTTTGAGCCAGCCCAGGCTACACAGTGAGACTCTCTCAACCTTGTCCCCTCAAGGAGCTAAATGAGTGTACGTGTGGCAGTCCTGGGTGTTACTGTGTGTGGGAGAATGTGTGTGTGTGTGGGTGAGTGGAGGGTGGACGAGTGCGTGCGTGCGTGCATGCGTGCGTGTGTGTGGTGTGCCAGTGGGAGTGTGGGAGTGAGTGTTGGTGAGTTGTATGTGTGCGTGAGTGTGTGTGCCAGTGGGAGAGTAGGTGAGTGCGTGTGCCAGTGTGTGTGCCAGTGTGTGTGTGTGCGTGCGTTCCAGTGGAAGGATGGGTGAGTGCATGTGTAGGTGAGCGGTAAGGGGTGGATGTGTGCAGAGAGCATGGGCCTGGGCGTCCTCTGTGGGGTCCAGGCATGGCAAGTACTGAAGGCAGGAAGGAGGGAGCTGGAAGGGGCGAGGGAGCGGGAGGCCGCAGCCATGTGGACAGGGAGTGAGTGGCGGGGCCCAGTGTCTCTGTCCTGCCTGACGCCCAGCGCCCCACCCCAGCGCACCTTGGGGAGGCCGACGAAGCCGAACATCTGGGGCAGCAGTGAGTGGTTGCTGAGGTTGATTTCCGTCCTGATGGCCTCATACACGGTGCAGTAGCCAAAGTCCACCTCCGAGGGGTTGAGTTCCAGGTCCGACGTGGTGACGATGGCTTGGACGGTGAACTCCACGGGTTTTATCTGACGTGCAAAGGGCTGCATGTGCTCCCCTAGCCTCTGATCTCCCAAGGATACACTGGCGTCCTGCCGCCTCACATGCGCCTCCCGACCAGCTGCTCGGGCTGCAGGCAGCCACCCAGGGACAAGCTGAGTGTGCAGTGTGTGTGGTGTATCTGTGCACACATCAGTGTGCACCAGGGCAGCGAGGCACGTGTCCATGTGCATGCCATGTGCAGATGAGGTGTGGAGGCCCCTGGCAGGCTGGGAACAGAGGCCTCCTCTGGCCCTTTCCCACCATACAGGAGCGGTGTGGACAAAAACCCAAGCTTTCTGGTTAGCCCACCGGGAAGTGAGTGATGGGGATGTCCTTTCGGGAGCCCACGTGGGATGCAGGGCCTTGCCTTCGTCCCCCAGGGTGCCCATGATTCATGGGCAGTACCCTGTACAGACCTGGTCGGCGACCCGGATCGTCATTGGAGCCTCCAGAACTCGGCTGTCCTTGTCAAAATACTTCCCTGCATCTTCTGGAAGGGAGAGTCTGCAACAGGCAGGTGGGCCCGACTGTATTTCCATAGGTATTTTGCCCACTGACCTCAAATTGGTGCTGTTAAACCATGTAGGAGCCAGGTGCCAGTGGCTCACACCTGTAATCCTAGCTACTCAGGAGGCTGAGATCTGAGGATTGCAGTTTGAAGCCAATCTAGGCAGTAAAGTCTGCGAGACTTGTTTTTTGTCAGTTGTGGGGGCTTGACCTCTGGGTTTGGGGGCTGTCCCTGCGCTCTTCAGCTCAATGTAAGCACTCTACCGCTCAAATCACAGCACCACTTCTGGTTTTTCTAGTGATTTTATTGGAGATAAGATTCTCATGGACTACCCTGTCTGAGCTGGCTTTGAACCTTGATCCTCACATCTCAGCCTTCTGAGTAGCTAGGATTACAGGCATGAGCCACTAGCACCCAGCTGTGAGACTCTTATCTATACTTAACCACTAAAAAGCTGGAAGTAGAGTTGTAGCTCACTGCAGTAAAGTACCAAAAAAGCTGAGGGGACGTGCCCAGTCCCTGAGTTCTAGCCTCAGGACCAGCACATGCATGCATATGCGTGCGCGTGCACACACACACACACACACACACACACACACACACACACACACACACACACACAGAGGAACTGTGCTGTGGGTAGCACGGAGGAGCTCTGAGATTCAGGTGACACCAATGCTGCTGCTACCATGCAGATCCTGTGGCTATCTCGGAAGCACTTCAGGCTCTGAAGCCTCAAGATGCCTCGTCTTGGTGAGCAGCAAGTTCCTGTTGCTCTAAGTGGAATGGACATATTTCTGAGCAGCTGCATTTAAGTAAAGGTCAGTGGTTGTGTTTTATTTTATTTATTTTATTTTTATTTTTTGTTGGTCGTGGGGCCTAAATTCTGGGCCTGGGCACTGTCCCTGAACTCTTCAGCTCAAAACCAACACTCTACCACTTGAGCCACAGCGCCACTTCCAGCTTTTTCTGCTTATGTAGTGCTGAGGAATTGAACCAGGGCCTCATGCATGCAAGGCAAGCACTCCACCACTGAGCCACCTTCCCAGCTCCAGTGGTTGTGTTTTAAATGAATAAAGACACTCACTTATAAGAACCTTTAAAGTGCCTTTGATAATCTTAGCTAATCAGTAGGCAGAAACCAGGAGGATCATAATTCAAGGCCAGCCTGGACAAAATTAGTGAGATCTCATCTCAGTCACAAACTCTCATCCCAGCTAGGAGGTAGGAAGATCATAATTCAGGCTGACCCAGGCAAAAACATGAGACCCTATATGTAAAAGAAAGCAAGAGGGGGTTGGGAAGGTGGCTCAGTGGTAGAGTGCTTGCCTTGCATGCATGAGGCCCTGGGTTCGATTCCTCAGTACCACATAAGCAGAAAAAGCTGGAAGTGGCTCAAGTGGTAGAGCGCTAGCCTTGAGCTGAAGAGCTAAGGGACAGTGCCCAGACCCAGAGTTCAGGCCCACGACAAAAAAAAAAAAAAAAAAGAAAGCAAAAGGACTAAGGGCATGGCTTCAGTGGTAGAGTACCTGCCTAACAAATAGGAGGCTGTGAGTTCACTCAGCTAGATAACAGAAAGTTAGGTAGACAGAAAGATAGATGGATGATAGATTATATAGACAATGAATTAAATATAGATGGGAGATAGATATAGAAGATAGACAGATAATAGGTAGATGATATAGATGATAGACAAATAGATGGTTGAACAACAAAGGTCTTGGATTCAGCAGAGAGTTAGGTGTCAGTGGCTCACACCTATAATCCTAGTTATTCAGGAGTCTGAGATGAGGATTGCAGTTCAAAACCAGTCCAGGCAAGAAAGTCCATGAGACTCTTATCTCCAATTAATCACCAGAAAATCAGAAATGGCACTGTGGCTCAAGTGATAGAGTGTTTGCCTTGGGCTAAAGAGCTCAGGGACAGCGCCCAGGCTCAGTTCAAGCCCCACGACCACCACCAACAACAAAAAAAGTCAGAGCAGAGGAAAAGAAATCTTAAGTGTCCAACATAGAACCTGGGAGTAACAAAAGACAGTCAAAGATAGCAGGCTCCCACTGTGTCCAATCAGAAGCCACACACAGACAGTGGGCTCCCACTGTGCCCAATCAGAAGCCACATACAGCAGGCATCCACTATGTCCAATCAGAAGCCACACACAGAGCAGGTACCCATTGTGTCCAATCAGAAGCCACACACAGACAGCAGGCTCCCACTGTGTCCAATCAGAAGCCAAGGGGGGTCACATACCAATACCAGGGTCATCTTATTCTGACAGGTTGCACAGCATGGTAATGTGTGCCCAGCAAGAGGAAAGCCCTGGAAGCCCCATTCCTCTATGGCCCACGCCTTTCTTAGCTCACCGAGGCAAGAATTTGAGCTGCACGGAGTAGGTTGACATGGCCTGAATGTAGCCCGTCTCAGGCAGGAGCTCCATGTGGCCTCTTAGCTCCTTGCAAACTTCAAACTTCAGGCGCAGGGCTGCTTTTGAACTGTGGGCAGGTCACAGGGCACCAGGTCAGGTGGTCACAATCGTGGCCCTGTGTACGTTTAGCCCTTTGAGCCACTGAGGCATTTCTTTTTTCTTGTTCATGGGGCTTGAACTCTGGGCCTCAGCTCTTCAACTCAAGTATAGCTAGCGCTCTACCACTTGAGCCACAGCGCCACTTCCAGTTTTCTGGTGGTTTATTGGAGATAAGAGTCTCACAGACTTTCCTGCCTGGGCTGGCTTTGAACCATGATCCACAGATCTCAGCCTCCTGAGTAGCTAGGATTACAGGTGTGAGCCCACCAGTGCCTGGCTTTGGGTTTTTTTTTTAATCATGAAACAAAATTTACATGGATACATGTGCCCTGGGAAAGGGTCAACACAGAGAAACTTCACCTCAGCCCCTCTGGCCACCCACCCTGTGTGTCACCCCAGACACCTTGGTCCCCTACCCTATATGAACAGGAAGCAGTTCACATCCTGCAAGCGGCCCTGTTGTTTACATCCTGCAAGAGACCCTGTTTGACCAAGCCCCCCAGGCTCTCCCAGATGGCTTCCTTCCCTAAGGCAGAGCCTCACCCAGGGTCTTGAAGACTTCCTGACCCTGGGGAGGTTGCTTAGGGCTACAGCAATCCCTGGCTTCGGGGAGTAGGGCCGTGGAGCCCTGGCAGGAGGGTGGCAGCAGCTGGGGCTTGGCACAGCAGCGGCCTGGCCTGGTGCTAGCTCTGGCCTGGGTGTGGTGGCTCTGAGATGCCCACCCCAGGACTGCTGTCCATGCCGCACTGCTGGGGTCATCTGTGTCTGGATGACCTCAGAGAGCAGACCTTGCTCGTGTCCTGTGCTGCTGTCCCACGTGTGTTTACTGAAACAACTTCCATGGAGGCAGAGCCACAGTGGACCTCCCCTGGCTCGGGCCAAGCCATGTGCAGGGGTGCTTCCTTCTTCCCTCGAAGCCTCTCTTTCTTGCCCTCCCTGGTCCCATTCCCAAGGCCCTGGTATTCTTTGGCTCCCTTCCTCTGTCTCCAAATCTGCCCGCCCTCTGGGTCACCCAGGATCACCTCCTTCAGGGACCCGCTTGGGGCACAGTGCCTCTGCAGGCCAGCAGGGGGCTCACCGTGTGTGGACGAGGATGGAGTCCTGGTACAGCCGGTCGAACATGCAGATCTTCAGGTCCACATTGGGCCTGGGTAGCCAGACCGGCACGTCCACTGCCAGGCCAACAGCTCTGAAATACAACTGAATTCCACAGGTGAATTCAACCACACAGTGGTTCGTAAGGAAAGCCCGGCGCTCTGCTGGGAGAGAGGGGTGCTTCTTGGGTTGCCTTAGTGATTGGCACTGAGTATAGGAAGGTTAATAATTAAGCAAGTGGTGGTTCCAGTTCTGTGGCATTCTCCCCATCATTACCATCCACTCACACAGCTCCCTTCTCCCTGCATCTCGTTTCTCTCTAGCTACTCTCTCTGGACCAGATCTGGAGCCGGGACAGCTACCTGGGTAAGAGCATTCTCTCTCTCCTCTCCTCCCTTTCCTCTCATATTGGTACCAGGACTTGAACTTAGGGCCTTATGCATTGGCTCAGCTTGCTTGCTCACAGATCTACCACTTGAACCAGCCTGGCATTTTACTGGCTAACTGGGAGATGGAGCCTGTGGACTTTGTCTAAGAAGCTGACCCTTAAATCTCAGCCTCCAGAGTAGTTGGGCTTACAGGCATGAGCCAACAGCATCCAACAAGAGGTATGCTTTAATCTACTCTCATCCATACTTCCTAGACTGTGTGCAAATATGTGATTTATCAGAATATAATTTTGTTAAAACCTGACATATTTTCTATTCCTAATGCTTATAAACTTACCTTATAATGCTTAGATTTTGTACTTATAGTTTTGGTTGTTGTTGGTTGTGGGGCTTGAACTCTGGGCCTGGGCGCTGTCCCTCAGCCCTTCAGCTCAAGGCTAGAACTCTACCATTTTGGGCACAGCACCACTTCTGGTTTTCTGGTGGTTAATTGGAGATAAGAGTCTCACAGACTTTCCTGCCCATGCTGCTTTGAACCATGATCCTCGATCTCAGCCTCCTGAGTAGCTAGGATTATAGACGTGAGCTACCAGTGCTCGGCTGTGGGTAGCTTTTTATTAACTTATTGCATAACTCAGGGTTCTTTTACTTTATGATGTCTTTGATAGTCTGAATGATCTCACTTGGGAATCACTGGCATAGTGTGCTACTGTAAGACTGTGTCGCCAAGCATTCTGGGTAATGCCTAGTCCTTGGACATTCCTGTTAAAATCAATTCCTGGGGCTGGGAATGTGGCTCAGTAGTAGAGTGCTTGCCTAGCATGCATGAAGCCCTGGGCTCCATACCTCAGTACCACATACACAGAAAAAGCTATAAGTGGTGCTGTGACTCAAGTGGTAGAGTGCTAGCCTTGAGCAAAAGAAGCTCAGGGATAGTGCCCATACCCTGAGTTCAAGCCCCAGTACAGGCAAAAGAAACAAGCAAACAAAAATAAACAAACAAAAAAACACCTGATTCCTAGCCAGCTAAGGTGGCACATGATTGTAATCCTAGCTACTCAGAAAGCTGACATCTGAGGATCAAAGCCAGCCTGGGGCAGTAAAGTCCATGAGACTTTTTTTTTTTGGGGGGGGGGTCCGGTTGTGGGGCCTGAACTCTGGGCCTGGGTGCTGTACCTCAGCTCTTCAGCTCAAGGTTAGTGCTCTACCACTTGAGCCACAGCGCCACTTCCAGTTTTCTGGTGGTTTATTGGAGATAGGAGTCTCACAATCAGAAGCCACACACAGACAGCAGGCTCCCACTGTGTCCAATCAGAAGCCAAGGTGGGTCACATACCAATACCAGGGTCATCTTATTCTGACAGGTTGCACAGCATGGTAATGTGTGCCCAGCAAGAGGAAAGCCCTGGAAGCCCCATTCCTCTATGGCCCACGCCTTTCTTAGCTCACCGAGGCAAGAATTTGAGCTGCACGGAGTAGGTTGACATGGCCTGAATGTAGCCCGTCTCAGGCAGGAGCTCCATGTGGCCTCTTAGCTCCTTGCAAACTTCAAACTTCAGGCGCAGGGCTGCTTTTGAACTGTGGGCAGGTCACAGGGCACCAGGTCAGGTGGTCACAATCGTGGCCCTGTGTACGTTTAGCCCTTTGAGCCACTGAGGCATTTCTTTTTTCTTGTTCATGGGGCTTGAACTCTGGGCCTCAGCTCTTCAACTCAAGTATAGCTAGCGCTCTACCACTTGAGCCACAGCGCCACTTCCAGTTTTCTGGTGGTTTATTGGAGATAAGAGTCTCACAGACTTTCCTGCCTGGGCTGGC